AATGCGAGTTCTATCACATCTGTCGTAACTTTAAGCTTATCGCAACTTGTGCCCTGGGCGTGCAGCCCAGACAAACCACAAGGGCGAATCCAGAGAGAGGATTCGTGACAATGGCAATTTAGACTCAACCAAGAATGTTTTCTTATTCTTGTTTCCTATTCTTCTACTGAACCAGCAAACAAATGAAACAAAAGGTACTCTTGAGACCACAGATCCTTGGAAGCTTGAGCTGTGATCAGTCTTTCAATCAGTCTTCCAGTCCTTCTGATCTCAAAGGGGTAGCCCCAAGTTGACTTGTTTTCAACAGCCCCCATGATAAGATTGGAGGATCCTAGAAATACCATCTGGAGTTGGAGAAAGGGACCCTTGTCAGCCTTCTGGGGTTCATTCTAGTTACAAATCAACTAAAAAGTAAAAACAAAACAGTGCACTCAGATTTCATATTTTACATGCTATTTGTTACTCCCTCATCGTGTCTACTTAACTTTTTCTTCTAACAGGCTGAATCTTAGACACCGTATTATGCCTCCTCTTTTAATGTATTTTCACCAGAGCTGACCAAATGTGTTATGAAAACAAAGGTTTCTTTCCTCACCCCCCCACCTCCCCATTGGCTGTCTTGAGATACGCTCTGTAGATCCTCTATTCTCTTCCTATTGGTGCTATTTTAGGCACACCTTGTATCTCCAGTTACTTTTCAGCAATAAAGATAAGTCTCATTTTGAAAATTAAGACACTCCAGATTCAGTAAAACCCAAAAGGTACAAAGAAGCCAAAAGTACGAGAGCTTATCCAAATGGCCAATACACGTATGAAAAAGGAATTAAAGAAAGTCACTAGTATCCAGGGATGTGCAAATCGAAGTAACACTACCATAACTTCACGTGTAAAAAACTAGTAAAAACTTTAAAGTTCTGCGATACACCATGATGTCAAGCGTGCCACAAAGAGATCCCCTCGTACATTGAGACAGAAATGTGAATTGTTACAAAGTTTTTAGAAACAGTCTGGCAACATCCATGAAAACCTAACATTAAACATTTCCTTTGACCCTGAAATCTCACCCCTGCGAATCTATTCCACAAAATGAAAAGACAGATCGGCCAGAGTATACATGATAGAACTGTTATTAAAGCATCGGTTTGTAGAAAGAAAAATTAGGAAACTAGTGAAGGTCCATCAACTGGAGATTGTTAGAATAAACCATGCTGCCGTCACCACACCAGTACTGAATAGCATGTTACCCTTAAACAAACTACGGAAGGAGTATATAATAGGGCCCCATGACAAAACAACACACGAAGAACGATGATCTTACACCCTTCAATGTATACACAATATGGAGATATATTTATGTTTATTAATTATATAATATATTTTATGTTCTGTTGTATATAAATACACATTTCTTTATGTTACATATATTGGTTTGCTGGCATGAATTACGAATTATCTGGTTTGTAGTGAAAGGTAAGTTTGGTGTCGGGAAGACAGAAAATGGGAGGAGAGGTTCAAGCAAAGTAAAAACTAAAACGCAAAATGATAATAGCAGTGGGTCTACTATGATCACACTAGTGCCTGTATGCGATTATGTATGAGTATGTGCACAATTAAATTAGAGACAAATATAGGTATGTATGGATAACTAGACTTGGTGACTTTGACCATTTCCACAATTTGGGGACACAAAGAAAGAAAAATCCGTAAAGCAAACCCTACTTTCTATTTTTTAACAAGGCACTCACAGGAATTCTTTTCTATGTAAAAGCTTTATATGTTCCAGAAGGGGCCACAATACAAGGGGGCAAGGTTGACAATCTCGTATCTTCCTTAATAGCTCTAAGATTTTCTAGTCCAATCTGGTGCCCAGAGATCTGCCTTTTTTCTACCTAGTCCCTGAAGCTTAATGGCTTTGTGCAGAATTACCATTTGCTCGAACCACCTGAAGTGCTTCATGCTGTATTAAGGAGAGCTCTCAAAAATTCTGGGTTCTAAAAGAATGTTTTTACCCATCAAAAGGATACATAAATGTATCAGAAATTCTAAAATTTCAAAGGTTAATGGTGAAATTGTTAAGCCTTTGCCTTGCATCTGGAAAGGAATTCATGCTTTGTTATTCAGATTTCTAATCTGAATAAAGATTCCAAGAATTCGTTCAATCTATAAACTGTGATTGTCAATTAATAAGTTTGTCTCCTAGAAGTTATTCTATAATTACCTTTATTTCTTTTCTTTTTAATGTTTATTTATTTTTGAGAGAGAGAGAGAGAGAGAGAGAAAGAGAGAAAGGCAGTGTGAGTGAGGGAGGAGCAGAGAGAGAGGAAGACACAGAATCCTAAGCAGTCCCCAGGCTCTGAGCTGTCAGCACAGAGCCCGACTCATGAGATCATGACCTGAGCTGAAGTTGGACACTTAACCAACCGAGCCACCCAGGCACCCCTACTTCTTAAACAACAAAAAGTGCATGCACCGTAGAATATCTCTACCAGAGACTCGTGCTCATCTTTCACTGTTGTTCCTCATAGAAGGATACTTTCTTGCATATCACTAATATTTCCTTTTTTAATGGGACACGAAAACCTTTTCAGGATCTTGTGTTATCACTAATACATTTGATCTAGTGGTCTAGAGAGACACCTTTGCACTTGTGTTTGTTTTGTCTTTCAAATATTGAAGAAATTCTGGGAGATAAACCATACGCACTTCCCCCAGAACACCCAGAAACAGTCAACATTACGGCATCTCTGACAAGCATCCGGTTTCAGTGCTCAGGGTACTTGAAGTACAGGGCTTAACCCTGGATGCGTCTATACACATGATACACGACACACATCCACGTCAACCATGTGATACCACAGAACCCATCAGCCCCAGGGTGGGAGATCCTTCCCCAAGTATTTTCTAACAAAGTACTATTTTATGTTCATTGAAGTTTTACTCTTGAAGGTGAGGGAGGACATACATTTATGAGAGGAAGCGGGGCTCCCTCAATTCATATCAGAAGGAAACAAAGAAGAGAAGAACATTTCTTGAAACGTTTTGCACCATAAAGGAGCAGATACATGTACGTAAATTGGCAAATTAGTTGTCACTCTCTGTCTTCTGCCAACTTGGCACGATTCACCTGAGAAAGAAGGCAATCCTGCCATTTGCTCCAAGATGGGTGGACCTTGAGTGTATTATGCTTAGTTAAGTGAAATAAGTCAGACAGGAAAAGACAAATACTGCAAGCTCTCACACAGATGTGCTATCTAATCGTGCGCTAAAGTGGAACTCATAGAAGCAGAGAGTAGAATTGGTGGTTGCCAAGGGCTGGGAGAGGCAAGGGGAATTGGAGAAAGGTTGCCCAATGGGTGCAAACTTGCAGTGAGAAGAGGAATGAGTTCCGAGGATCTAATGCACGGCAGTGTGATTATAGTCAATAATACCGCATTATATACTTTGAAGTTGCAAAGAGTAGATCTTAAATCTTCTTACCAAAAAAAAAAAAAAAAAAGAAAGAAAGAAATGATAATTATGGAACATGATGGATGTGTTAGTTAACCCTGAGTAGACAGTCATATTGCAATATGTAAGTGTATCAAGTCAAAAGTTGTGCATCTTAAACTTGTGCAATGGTAAATGCCAATCATATCTCAATACGGCTTGGGGGAGGGAGAGTAGCAAAGCAAAAGTGCTAAGCAAAAATTAAAAAAAAAAAGGGGCGGCAATAGCTTTGGCCACCACTTGTTGGGTTCTTATCAGATAGCGACCATAGTACTGTTTAAGGTTATATTACTTTCCTTCTTACACCTCATAGCAATGCTGTACCTCATACCACCATTTCAGAATATCAAACTCATTTTGCCTGGAGAAAAGGAAATTCCCAAATGAAGCCATATAATTCCTGGTTTTAGAGCCATGAAGCCAGGAGAAATCGGATTTTGCTCCAGAAAGTAACTGGGTCCCCCTCCTTAGGGCGGCGTGAGTCCCCAGAGCCACACACCGCTCTGGGTCACCCCGTAAAATCTTTCCATTTTCAAGGACAACAAAGCAGAGAATGTTCTTTCCCAAGGCAGCTTTCTGTATGTATGAACTACAAAGAATAGGACTAACAGAGCAGCTTCTTATGCGTGCCAGCGTTCTACCAGGCACACTGCATGTTTATTCCCATCCAACTTTATATTCCAGAATCAAAATTGTATTCCACCTAGATCTGTTAGAGATGGTGGTTTGCATGGGTTGTACCTCAGGTTTCTCTGCAAGAGTGTAAATTCGGCATGGACAGGAACTTCTGAGCACACCAAAGCATTCACTAAACACGTGGGGGATGAATGAATAAATAAATGAACGCCTATCTTGAGTGGGGAGCCCTTGCCTGGTTCTCATCGGTATCTCACTTCCTCTGTCCTTGCCTCACTTTCTTGACGCTGGGGAGGCACGTGGCAAATAAGGCAGAGGCAGTGGTTACATGAGAAACGGCCTAAAATTGCTATACTCAGGAGGAATGCATACAAGTATGATGACGATGATGTTCTTGTCCTAAGTGCTGGGCAGAAGAGAGAGGAATAGATATATTTTCATCTCATCACAATCTGGAAATTACTTTTCCCTCAAAAGGGCAAATTCAGCATGACATTATTTCCAACGCAGTGTATTGCAGGACATGTGGCACATTCAACAGGAAACAACGCTTTAATAATGATTTTATTGTTGTTGTTGTTGTTGTTTACCTAAAAGGAACTGACTTATAGCATAAATGGTGACCACAATTTTTTTTTTTCTAACTATAGCTACAAAGATCTAATTTCACAAAGAAATTCCAGTGTATTCTATTTCCCGGGCATCAAAGAGTTCACAAGGCTTCATAGCCATCATTTTATGTAAGCCTCATGGCAACCGTCTGTTACAGGTAATTTATGGAATGCTTTTCCAACAGAGATGTCTAGAGGATGAACATTCTCCACAAACCAAATGTTTATGAGGCTTATTTTTTTTAACTTTTATTGTTATTATTTTAGCACTCTGGTGACCTGCAGGGAAGCCATGCACATGGACTTCCCAACAATGTCAAGTAGCAGGTGACTACACAAGATGGGGGAACGTCACCACAGCCAGCTCTCCAGACCCTCCACAGCCCACTTTGTGTGAGGGCCACCAACTGGGTAAGTCTCTGTGGGCTGGGGATTGCATTCTCTTTTGGATATCTATGATCAAATGAACAAAACTGTGCTTTTTATCAGCCAAGCAAAGACTATTTTACTGTCGCTTTGTTTCAGTTTATGTTTGTGTATTTTTTCTCTGATGGCCTCTGAGGCATAACATCTTGGTTTCTTCTCTAGGTAGGAACAATTACGAATAATTCCATTTTATAGATGAGAAAATAGAAATACAAAGAAGAGGTTAAATATCTTACTCAAAGTGACATAATTAGCAAATGTTAAGGCCAGGATATGGAACAACTCTTCACTGAAGAGATTAAAGACAAATGTTATTTTTTTAATGTTTATTTATTTATTTTGAGAGAGAGACAGACAGACAGAGAGAGAGAGAGTCAGTTGGGGAGGGGCAGAAAAAAAGAGAGCGAGAATACCAAGCAGGCGCTCCACCTTCACTGTAGAGACCAACATGGGGCTCAATCCCGCAAACCGTGAGATCATGACCTGAGCCAAAATCAAGAGTCGGACACTTAACCAACTGAGCCACCCAGGCGTCCCAAAGACAAATGTTATTTAATCTGACCAAAGCAGAATACAAAATATTATTTGAAGAAAATCTGACCAAATCTTTTCAACACTCCCCTCTGAGGACCGGCTGTGTGTAACTATCAAGGTCCTATCCTATCAAATATGTGCTGTGTGGTATATAGGCGTTTGAGTATATCTTCATGGTGTAAAACAAAAAAAACCAACAGCATAACTGCTATATTTCATTGAGTGTCCTTTGAAAATTCATATTTTTCCCAGAACTTCAGAGTGTGATCTTATTTAGAAATAGAGTCATTGCAGATGTAATTAGTGAAGATGAAATCATACTGGAGTAGAGTGGGTCCTTAATCCAGTGTGATATATATCCCTAAAAGAAAAGGAAAAGAGAGGTACATCAGAAAATACCACATCCAAACAGGCAGAGATTGTCGATTAAAGAAAAACAAATTTAGGGGCACCTGGGTGGCTCAGTTGGTTAAGCGTCTGACTCTTGGTTTGATCTCACTGTTCATGAGTTCAAGCCCCAGCTTTAGTTCACATATTGTTTTCTTTTTTTTTTTTAATGCCTGTATTTTTATTTAGAGAGAGAGTGAGCACAAGGGAGGAGGAGAGAGAGAGGGAGACAGAGAATCCCAAGCAGGTTCCACACTGCCAGCACAAAGCCCGATGTGAAGCTTGAACTCACGAACTGTGAGCTCATGACCTGAGCCAAAATCAGGGGTTAGACACTTAACTGACTGAGCCACCCAGTGGCCTCCACACAGTCACTTCGTAAGTAAGGTCACTTGATCAAAGTTTTTAAGGCCTTTTCTGATTAACTTTATACCAGCTGTGTACATGCACTTAATACATATTTGGTGAAAAAAATGACTGGCTGAATTAATGAATTAATGAGTAAGGGAAGCCCTCCATAAAGAACACATAATATAAATTATGGTATTTAATTTATAAACAAGAAATGATATTTCTGCTCTGGAGGAAAGGAAATTCAAACAAACTTCCTAAGTAGTGGAAATAAAGGTGATTGGAAAAATAGAGATTTTGAAAACTATGTGTTTTAGAATAAACAGACCTTGCAAAAATCCATAACACCACTGAGCTTAAGTTTCTCCTTCCATGAAAAGATAAAATCATTGTTACCCTGCCAAACTCATAGAGCTACCAGGAAGATCAAAGGTACTTGTGGATGTGGATGAGATTTATAAAGTGAATACACCGTGGAAAGTAATTATTATTGGAGAGTGTTGAAATGGAGGAAAATGCTTGAGTGTGAATAGGGGCAGTACAGCGATTAAACAGGCCAAGAAATATGTTAAAATCTGCATTAAATAAATATCACACACATGAACACACACACACACATGCCTGTGAAATCCATTAGGTAGCTTCTGATGGGATTCTCACTGGTGATGGGAGAGTTGTTGTGCTTGAGATGTTGTGCCTGACACCCCTACCAAAGTAAGTCACTGTGTGGACACAGGAAGAGCAGGAGGGTTCCAGAATATCCCAACAGAATTGTGGGTATGTGATACTGTCGGATCTCTCCTCCACTTTCCATCTCACCGGGATTTTCCTTCAAGGAGAAAGAAAACACTTCCCACTGTAGAAGCAGATCATGAGAAAAAGTGAAACATTTTTAACCGGGACTAGTAATGAAAATGGTAGGGTTGGGAGGGCATAGGATTTGGGAAAGGAGTGGCGTGTGCAAAAAGGTGGGTGTGTCCTGGGCGTGGAAAAACAGGGAACCCTTGAATGACGGTGGACATCTTTTTTCTTATAACTCAGGCTTACCATACTTTATGGTTTAATAGTTTCCGTAAGCTACTTTATCTTGGCCACCATTCTAGGGTGCAGAAAATACTGCCATTCAGGATGTATTCTGTCAAAGGGAATATCTTCAGTTTTGGTGGAAAACAAAAGTAAACACAATAATCTTAACAATAAAATACGGTGTTACCGTTTACGAAATGCTACTAAGTTCTGGAACACTCTACAATACCTGACTTACTCAATGCCACTCCTCACGGCAGGGTAGGGTAAGTATCCAAATCACTCTCTGAAGACAAAGAAATTAAGATTCACAAAGGCTATAGAAAGCGTGCCCAACGTCACAGAGTTAGTAAGTGATAGGATCAAGTGTTCCTACTTTATACCACACTGCCTCAAACACATTTTGAGAAGGTTGGTCAGCCATTTATTTTATGGCTACAGACCAATCTCATGTGCTAAACTTTTGCATGGCCATACAGAGAGAATAAATGTTTACAGAGTTACTATGTTCTACACACATTGCATACCTGTCTCATTTGATCACAGACATAGGTTTTCTGAGGACAGCATGCCTGCTAGCAACATGCTCCATCCTCCATCCCAGAACATACGCTGCTGGGTAGGAAACATTTTATTTTTAGCTTTCGTCAACAGCTGACTTAGATCATGTGAACATTCTGCTCTATTCATGCTGGCTGCAGAGTGGAATCACTAAATTTTATCTTCATTGACTAAACCACGCTGGCGTATCTTCTACTATCTCTCTCTGGGCAGTCCTATGATATTTTGCATCCATTGTGTTTCTTCTCTGCACATGAACCATTCCATCCAAGTAACTGGCTGTTTAACATAACCTTTCAATGTCCTCACTTGTTACCACATGTATGTGTGCTTGAGCCAACTTGTTGCAAAATTACATGATAAGTACCTCTTGCTGCTTTGCACGTGCTGCTCCATAGTGACCAGCGTATTCCTGTCTTTCCTTGGCAAAGAGCACTTTGGTTTGGCGTTACTGGGGTTGCTTTCTGAATCTCATGTAACGGAATATATGAAAAACACAAATAATGATTTTTCATGTTAAATATCATTTATTGTCACATTGGCTTCCATACAACACCCAGTGCTCATCCCGACAGGTGCCCTCCTCCACGCCCATCGCCCACTTGCCCCTCTCCCCCACCCTCCATCAACCCTCAGTTTGTTCTCGGTATTTAAGAGTCTCTTATGGTTTGCCTCCCTCCCTCTCTGTAACTTTTTTTTTCCCCCTTCGCTTCCCCCATGGTCTTCTGCTAAGTTTCTCAGGATCCACATATGAGTGAAAACATATGGTATCTGTCTTTCTCTGCCTGGCTTATTTCACTTAGCATAATACCCCCCAGTTCCATCCACGTTGTTGCAAATGGCCAGATTTCATTCTTTCTCATTGCCAAGTAGTATTCCATTGTGTATATAAACCACATCCTCTTTATCCATTCGTCAGTTGATGGACATTTAGGCTCTTTCCATAATTTGGCTGTTGTTGAAAGTGCTGCTGTAAACATTGGTGATACCACCTCATGCCGGTCAGAGTGGCCAAAATGAACAAATCAGGAGACTGTAGATGCTGGAGAGGAAGTGGAGAAATGGGAACCTTCTTGCAATGTTGGTGGGAATGCAAACTGGTGCAGCCGCTCTGGAAAACAGTGTCGAGGTTCCCCCCCAAATTAAAAATAGACTTACCCTATGACCCAGCAATAGCACTGCTAGGAATTTACCCAAGGGATACGGGAGTCCTGATGCATAGGGACAAATAATGATTTTTTACAAACATGGCTGAAAAAAGAAATATGCACTGCTGTGCATGACAGAAGACATAAGTACATACGAACAGAATAAAAGGAGAAAACACACACATGTGGCTGTGTAGACTATTTTGGGAAATGCTAGTAAATTTCTTACAGGGAGACAGACTTGAGGTAAATATAACAACCCACCCAAATATCCACACCCCCTGGCTTCTGTATGTTTCTCAGGAACATCTACACAAGTGGACTCAAGAGGTCACATAAAATATTGCCGCTGACTTGTTCACGCCATCTTGGAAACAGCTGCTGGGCGGTCTTCTGTTTATCTGCTCCGCATGGACCGCCTTGGTGAGGGCTGACCGGCAGGCGAAGTCATCCAGAATTAGGCAGGTGGCACTTGAAGAATTGTACCCACTGCAAATGCAGGCTCAGTGGGCAAGTTCTTGTCAAGCAAAGGCCTCTTCAGGGTTCCAGAAGTGGCGACACAAAATGACCCACTCAACTCGCAAGAGTTAGAACCAGATAGGTGGGTACCACAGAGATGATGGTTGCATGATTTCAGTGACCTACCAATGACTTATTCCAGGTTAAAAATAGGATGACTGTGGATCAGGGAAGGACTTCTATATCCCAACAGTGTCACCCCATGTGATAATAGAAAAGACCAAGGGGTAAGGACAAGAGCCATGAGCATATTACAGAAAGTAATGTCAAACCTCCTGGTGGGTTGCCACAGTCACCTGATCTGATACGCATTTCAAGAAACCTGTTCTTGATAGGCCATGTCCTATCATAGAAAAATTATACAGCATGTGCAGTGTTACAGTTCTGAAAAAGGAGCTGGCACTATGGAGACATTAGGTGTTGGGCAAGAAGTTGGCGGCAGGACCCTAAAAAGAACGA